AAAAAAAAAAAAAAAAAAAAAAAAAAAAAAAAAAAAAAAAAAAAACAAGAAAAGAAAAGAAAAGAAACGTGAAAATATCTCAGAACCTTTTAATCATAAGGTTAAAAATCACAGAACCTTTTAATCCAAGAGGTTAAGATCAGAGATTCCCGGTCAGTCAAATAGCTTAGAGGGTGGAGGTACTTGATGTGCAAATCCTATCACCTGTAATCCCAGAACCCACACCAGAAGAAGGCACACACTCCAAAGAGCTTTCCTATGAATTCCACACATACTCCTGTCCACACACACGCACACATGCACGCACGCACGCACGCACGCACGCACGTACATGTATGTGTACATACTGAGGTTTGAACCTAATGCCTCATGTGTGCTGGGCCAGTGCCCTCCTCTGCTGAGCTCTCTCTATATATACCCTGTATCTCTGGCCCAGTGCATTGTCTTGATATATAAAAGACAGAGGGTGACCTACTGCAAGACTTCAGAACTTCTAGGAGCTGCAGATCCAAAGTAAATCTGCACCTTTTCCTAGGCCTTTCTTCATAAATTGCCATCAAGTGTTTATGAGAAAGATTAGAGGCAGGCAAAAGCCCAAAGAAAGCCTTGCTTACAATGTGGTTTAGGGGAGGCGAGCAGAAGCCAAACACTGAGCAGAGGAATGAAATCTGTCTGAGCCTTCTGCCACCTTTCTCCTGCCCTGCCCCGAAGACAGCTGTGTGCTAAGAGGAAGGAGGGTCAAAAACTGACTCTGGGGACATGGGTCAACGGATATGGTAGTTGATAACCGTATCTAACACAAGACAACCTATGCTAGGAGGAGACCCCATCCTGATCTGTCCCAAACATGTCCCTGCTTAAAGGGGGTGGCTCTTAGAAGCACACACACACACACACACACACACACCCTAGCAAGTGTCCAGGAACAGTAATAGCAATCTGCTGCTGGCAGAGAGGCTTACAAAAATGGTTGTAAAGAAACAATCCCTCAGAGGCACAGGCACAAAGAGAAAGCCAGTCACTGAAAAGGAAGCAGACACACACACACAAACCTCAAAGCGCTTCACCCACCAATATAATAATAATAATAATAATAATAATAATAATAATAATAATAATAAAATTAGAAGAATTTGAAACCTGTACTTAGGAGAGTAACCATGGCAACCACAGTCTCACTTGATCTTCTCAATGCTTTCCACTACAGAAAAGGCGTACTCAACACTAGGAGTGCAGTTCAGAGGTGAAGCACTGGCCTCCCTGGCACCATGGGGGGGGCGGTGCGGGAGGGAGGGAGGGAGGGAGGGAGGGAAGAGCTAACTGACTGGAGGTGCCTAGTGTTCATCACACACGTACAAAAACAAAACAAAGAGGAACCAAAACAATGAGTAAAGAACTATATCTCAAGCACAGTGGCACACACCTTTAATCCCAGCACGCGGGAGGCAGAGGCAGGAGGATCTCTGTGAGTTCAAGGCCAGCCTGGTCTACATATTGAGTTCCAGGACAGCCAGAGATACACAGTGAGACCTGTCCCGAAAACAAAAGAAATAATAACAAAAAGAAAAGTATTTTATTTCTTTTAAAAATGTTTTCGTTAGCATAGAGGAGAATTGATTTCATTTACTCTGATGTTTTCACGCATGTGTAGCATTGTGCTTTCTCTTATTACCACGCTGCCCTCCTCCATCCCTCCACCCACCTTCTTGCTGATCTCCTTCCAACCCCTCATCCAACAGCCACTCTTTTGTTTTCGTGTCCTCTGTATAAATCTGTTTAAATCAAGATTCGACCTAAAAGAGAAAACATGGTCATTTGTCTTTCTTCCCTCCATTACCCTCTTTTTTTTTAAGTTGTTGTTTGGTTTGTTGTTGTTTTTGTTTGTTTGTTTGTTTGTTTGCTTGCTTTTTGAGGCAGGGTCTCTCTATGTAACCTTGGCTGTCCTGGAACTCACTCTGTAGACCAGGCTGGCCTCGAACTCATAGAGATCTGCCTGCCTCTGCCTCCCAAATGCTGGTATTAAAGACGAGACCATCATGGCTAGCAGAATGTCATCTTGACATCAGAGTCACTGTAGAGAGCATTCTACTCCACAATCCACTCACACCACATTTCTCTGTCTGTGAGATGTTCCCATCACTGCACCACACTCATGTAAGTTACAGTGTCCTGACCCTGGATACTCAGAGCGTAGGCCCAGGGGAATCACCCTGGCACGTGAGCCCATGGGGTCTCCTATTCCCAATGAAACACAGTGGGTCTGTGTCCCTGGTGGACCCACCATGCACCCGCTGAACATGTGAAGAAGCCCTGCGTCTCTCTCCTCTGAAGGCTGTACTACCACCATCACACACTCCTACAGTCTAAACTGTGGCACCTTTGGGCATTGCTGATGTGGCTTACAGCGGAAGAGAGCAGAGCTACGCACCTACGCACCGCTCAAAGCTAATGCATGCCGCCAGGAGGATGGTATCCCAGGATCCATCCGCAGGCGAAAGGTTTCCTTACGAAAGTTGATAAAGAAATCAGAAGAGCCAGTTGCTCCACTAAACACACAATATCAGTGCAGAGACACAGAATGAGACGTCAAGTCAGCATGTCACCAAAGGACCACCAAAGTCCCCAATAACTAACCCCAGCAAAAAGGAAATTTATGAATTACCTCAAAGGGAATTTAAAATAATTATCTTCAAGAAATTCAGCAAAGTGTAGAAAATGAAAGCAGATAACTCAATGTAATCAGGAGAACAATTTATTTTATCAGAGTGAGTTAAGAGATAGATATCATGAAAATGAACCAAGGAAAAATACTGAAACTGAAGATTTCAGTGAATTAAATAACCACAGACACACAGAGAGATCCAAGAATCTCAGCCATAGATAGGGTCAAGCAGAAGAAAGAATTTCTGAATGTGAAGAAAGGTCCTGCGACATCATCCAGAGGGAGTCTTGGTATGGTGCACATACCTGCAATCCCAGCACTCAGGGGGAAGCCGGAGGAAGACGGCCAGCCTGGGCTACAGTAATGAGTGCCAGGCCAGCCTGGGCTAGACAGTAAGACCTATCTCAAGAAAAAGAGATGGGAGGGGCTGAGGAAATGGCTTCGTTAGTAAAGTGCTTGAAAAGCCAGAGTTCCATCAACAGAACCCATCTCAAAAGAAAATGAACATGACAGCACACATTGTATTCCCAGCACTGGGGAGACAGACAGATCCCTGGGACTCACTGGCCAATGACTCTAAATGGTGAGTTCCAGGCCAATAAGGGATCCTATCTCAACAAACTGAGTGGATAGCCCCTGATGAATGGCACCAAGGTCGACCTCCAGCTTCTGGAGGTCATGTGCATGGACACACACACTGAACTGTCCCAAACAACCGGGTGGATTATGCACATTATGGGAGTTAAGAGGATGAAGAAAGAAAGAAATCCCGAACTAGACAAACACAGAGAGACTTAAATAGACAGTGACTGTCAGGGTAGTGACAGGAAAGGTGGGTGGGTGGGTGGGGACAGTGAGAAGCGGGGAGTGATTACTAACGGTCCCAGAGTTTCTCTCTTGGGTGCTGAAACTGTTCTAAAATGTGCTGTGGTGATAGTTGCTCAACTCTGGGAACATACAAAAGCCATTGGAATGCACACTTGAAATGAGTGAGTTGTGTGATATGTGAATTATATCCCAATAAAGATATTTAAGAAAACAGAAAATACCCAGCATTGAAACCACAACTGTGAAAGCAGAACAAACAGCTTTCAGACAAGTGGAAGGAAGCCAGTTAGAAAAGGCGAGCCAAAACCTAAGCAAATACGAGGGAAGGCAGAGGAACCAAAGCACCAAAACTACAGAAAACAATTAGAAAAACAGCACAGAATGACAGAGAACAGCCAGTGTAGACGGAAGCAAAATCCTGAGCCTGGAGTAGTGGCTCCCAACTGTATTTCCAGCACTTGTGAGGATGAGAGAGGAGGATCAGGAGTTCAAGACCAGCCTCAGCTACATAGCAGGTTCAAGGCCAGCCTGTACTACATGAAACCCTGTGAGAGAGAGAGAGAGAGAGAGAGAGAGAGAGAGAGAGAGAGAGAGAGAGAGAGAGAGAAGAGAGAGAGAGGAGAACTAAGAAGAAATAAAAATTGCTAAACAGCAGGGAAAATCCCATAAGCCCTGCTAGGAATAGGGCCACATTCATCAAATACTAGAAGGTTTGAAGAGCATGGTGGTGCACACCTTTAATCCCAGCACTCAGGAGGCAGAGGCAGGGGAATCTCTGTGAATTAGAGTCCAGCCTGGTCTACACAGTGCATTTCAAGAAAGCCAGGGCTCTATAGAGTGACCCTGTCTTTAAAAAATGAAATAATGATAATAACTAGAAGTTTCAAAGGTGAGATAGTAAAAACACAAAATAAACGGAAAAAGGAAGTTTCAGGACTAAAGAAATGAAAGACCCAAGCTGTGTTCGGGTGTGGGTATGCACACAATCTCGAGTGCCATCCCTTCCTAAAGACCCCCAATTAGACTACACTGACTGGCCACCAAGTACCTGGGATGCTCTTGCCTCCCCCTCCCCAGTGTTGAGATGACCAGCTTGTCACTATGACTATCTGTTTTTCATACAGGTTCTTGTGGTCAAACTCATGGCCTCGCTCTCTCCCCAGCCCCCAAACATCCTTACTGAAGTAAAAAAGAACTGCAAAGAATGGACTATGGTCTTCTTTAATTCCTTTAAAAAAAAAAAAGAAAGAAAAAAAAAAAAAGATCTTTAGGGGGCTGGAGAGATGGCCCAGAGGTTGGGAACACTGGCTGCTCTTCCAGAGGTCCTGAGCTTGGTTCCCAGCAACCACATGGTGGCTCACAACCATCTGTAATGGGATCTGGTGCCCTCTTCAGGCATGCAGGGATATGTGCAGGCAGA